AGCATGTGTGAATATGCTTGGCACTCATAGGAAGTGGGAATTGACATAATACGATTAGGGACAAAGCAAATTAAGGAGCCGCCAACAAGTTTTTAAGGAACTTGTAAGCCGTTCACGGATCATAAAAGGCAACCACAATAAAGGGACAACGATAGGCAACAACGATTGACCCGTGAAGGTTACACCGCATTCATAATCCATGAGATTACTAACTCCATATGGTTCAGAACCACAAAAGGAGGATAGGGGATGATGGTACGAAGTGAGTCATTGAGTCACATTCGCCCGTATTGGCGTCTACTCGATTCGTATAGTGAAAAGTGATTACTGCGATCTTAAAGGCATGCAAACAAAGATTCAATTTGCTCCAAACTATTTTTATGCTAAATTGGTTGAATATTAATGCGACACGTGATTCTAAAATATTAGTGATCACTTGAATTAATAACAAGATTAAAAAGGAACCTAAACCGGTCGTCCAAATTATCTTATTAGGCGTGATTTTCATCTACATATTCCCTTTAAACATGGAATATGGTGATCATAAATAATAATAAAATAAACATTAATATTGGAAGCAATTCAACAATAAATTGTTAGTCAAATCAAATACAAAATGACCTAATCATGACACTAGCAATAATAAAATAAAATAAGTAATTAAATTAATTAATTACTCACATTTTGCGCGTTCTTAAAATTGCTACATCATGAATAAATTGTTAGTAACTACAATAAAAAATATAAAGCAAATGAAAATTAAATTATATAAATATAGATTTGATTTGGTCCAAACCCTCAGTTATTTATACCTTTCATGCCTTGGTTTAAGGACGGAACCTCGGGTTTAGTATAGACTCCTTGGAGTGCTTAAGGGAAGAATGGTGTAATTAGGAATATAGGTTTAAGGCTTAGAATATGAAATAAAGAGAGAAGAGAATGATTTTTTGTGTTAAAGAGAGGAAGAGATAATGATTTGATGCCTCAACCTGTAGAAAGGAGGGGGTATTTATAGGGAAATTGAGTAGAGGGAACACACGGAACCCTAAAAGATAAAAACCCTAAAAATTAACACCGCGACACGACAGAGAACACCATGACACGGTTCCAGGCACCGTTAGACGGGGAAAAATCCCGTGATGTGGGGAAAAATGGAGCGACGCGGGACATATTTGATCTACGGGAAGTGAAAACGCGTAAAGGGTTAACGCGGAAAAGACACGAGAAAATTTCGTGACACGGCACACGTACCGTGACCCAGCAGTGTCCACTGTGGCACGGTACAGTGCACCGTGTCACGGTATGGGAACTCGCGGAAATTACACGGAAAAAGCACTGTGACATGGTGAGAAATACCGTGTCACGGCAGCAGGTACCGTGTCACGGCATCAGGTACCGTGCCACGGTGGATTTTCACCCAAAAAATCTTTGAAAATAGAACCATGACACGATTTAAACTACCGTGTCAGGGCACCAGGCACCGTGCCATGTCATCAGGTGCCGTGACACGGTGCTTTTATATCGTGCACGGTAATTCCAGTTTTTTACCTGTTTGTAAAATCATCATTACTTTTGATTCTGTAACTCGGAATAAGGCATATAATATATCATTGGAAAGCTTATAAAGTCTACAAATCCTATTAGAATCAGGTTAAAATCATTTGTAGATTTTAAAATATAGCCGTTTTAGTAGAAGGGTGTCGATTTTGGGCCGAGTTTAGTGTTTGGCTCATATCTTCTTCGTTTTAAATCGGAATTGGGCTTATGATATATGGTTGGAAAGATTATTGCAATGCCTATTCAACCAAATAATAATTGGATCAAAATTATTAGGCCAAAAATTCAGTTTCTCTCGGTTTTGCGATGTGGACGCGAAAAGAGGAAAACAAGTGATGATTTAGGGAAATGAGTTAGGAAATGAATTGGTTTATGAAATGTATTGAATAGAACATGGATTTAAGCACTCCAAAGATTAAATACTCAACCCGACCAATAATGGCGGTGAAAGATTGTTTATCATCGGGTTTGGTTTTGGGGAGACATTTTTAGGTGTCTACAGGTTCGATGATTTTTTTTTAACCAATAAGGTTAAGGTATTGGTGGTTGTGCGTTACGATTTTAGCGATGGTAAATGGGTTTCAAATCTAAGTGGTGGTGAGGTGGGGTTTTAATTTACTGTTGGTGGTGAGTTTGGATTTTGGTTCGTTAGTGGTGGCTGGTGATTGATGATGTAGGGTTCGTTGATGGTGTTTGGTGATAAGTGACTTTTATGTCACTTTTAGGGTGTTTATTGAGTCGTTTTCTGGCTTATTTTTCCAATAATTTAACCCTTTTTATCCTTTATTTCTTTTATTTGCTTATTCGCGTCGTTTATCTTTATTTTGTGTATTATAGTAGTTTTTAATAATTTTTAGCTTATTTTCTTAATTTATTTAAATTATCTTATTTTCTATGTTTATATTTTAAGTTTTTAGTTCTTGTTATTTAATAAGTTCCTAGTTTCTCTCATTTTCTTATTTTATTTTATTTTCATGTTTGTTTTCTTTATTTTATTTAATTTCTTTTGATTTTCTTTTCAAGTATTATTTTATCTTTATTTTATTTTATTTTATCTCGTGGTAATACCCTCGTGTTTTTGGTTGTAGGTGTTCCGGGTTTCAAAGTCATATTCATGTTCAGGGTCCGAGGTTTGAGGCAAATTAACAATGCCAAGCTGCTGCCCTCTTGCTAGCAGCTTATCAGACACCACCCTCCCTCCTTATCCTTCACCACACCAGTCACGCACCACTAATTCTCCTGCTCCCTTCAACAACACCGATAGCAACATCAGCAAACTGTAAACACACCTCCAATCACCACCACGCAAACCACCAGCCAACTCCCCTGCTCCCTCAATTCCACCACCGCAACAACAACAAAAACAACCACCTCCCACCGCAACCAACACAGCAACCCCTGCTGCCCTTAATCATCACTCACGCATTCCCACACCTCCAACCACCACGCATTCTAGCATCACCACCAACACTCCCGTACTGCCAGCCGCAACTCATACCAGCCCACCTTACCACCACCGCACAACAGAGCAGCCACCTCCAGCCACCAATCCATCAATAACAACAACATCAACTCAATCCACAATCAACCACCCATCAATTCGACTCCACCAGCCACCTCACCCTACTCGCACCACCTCAACTCAGCGCACCCAAACCACCTGAACCACCAACACCACCGCAACAATCGATTCCCCTGCTCCCTCACTTCACGCAACAACAACAACCACCCAAATCACCACCAAACTACTCACCAATTAAACCCCTCAACTCACAGCAGCAAACCACCATCAACAACCACCCGAACTCACCTCCAATCTACCTCCGTCAGCCACCAATTAAGACCACCGTCAGCCACCAAAACAACAGCCGCAATTCGCCCAACACCCAAACTCACAGAGCAGCAATTTGCGGCCACGCAGCCCTGTTAGAAAGCGCACAATTGGAGTCCAATACGGTAGCTTTGCGCGACCTGTGCGCGACTTCTTTGCGGGCGCGCAAATGTGGGTCAATCACGAGCTTTTCACGTGATTTTAATGAAAATCGGACGGCCACAATTTGATGCTAGATGATGATGATGATGATTTACGGTGAAGATCATGGTTGGATGGTTGATGCTAGAGGGAGAGCAGCCAAGATCGAAAGAGAAGGTGGTGGGATTTCGTGGGTTTGGACGGGTTTTAGAGGTTTTAGGGTTTCTTTTTTTCTTTTATTTTATTTTATTGTAGTTTTGTTTTTTTTTGGTTTTTAGTTTAGTTATTTTAATTGTTTTATTTAGTTTTATTTCTTTTTATTTTATTTTATTTTATTTTTATTTAACTTGTATTATAAATACCCCTTTGGGGTTATTTTCTCACAACTTTCAATCAACATTTTATTTTAGATAGATTAGATTAGTTTAGCCTATATTTTCTCTCTCTTAGGGTTAGATTAGGATTTTCTCTCTCTAGTTTTAGGAGTAGTTGTAGAGAGAGAAAGCTTGGATTTCTATGGAGTTTTTGAGAGGTTGAAGAAGCAACTTTGCGGAACTTCTTCTCATCTATTCAATGAGCATTTTCTAACTTTCTCTCATCTTTATTTCTTTGCTTAATTCTTAGTTTTTGCTTTTTGTTTGTTGATTTGAGTAGATTAAATAGTTTGTTTGTTTAATCTTGTTTTTATTCTTATTTTTCCTTGTTTTCCATGTCTTTCTTCATTATGTTAGCTTAGGTCTTGTTCTAGGGAATTGGATGAAGGTTATATTAATGAATTGAATGATTGATTGTGATTAGTATGAAATTGTTTCTTGATTATTGTGTATGGGTAATGCTTATATGGATTAGAATCTTTCTAGCTAATCGATTCTATGCTCTAAATTGTGCTTTCAATCAATTGTGCGAGAGTGAGTTGGTTGAGAGCCCTAAATTCTTCCATACCTTTGCTAGGGTAGTTGCACAAGAGTGAATTAGTTCAGTAGGATAATTAACATGCTTAATTGTGCGAGAGTGATTTAAATGTATTGATGTTCCTAATCAAGGTCATTTTCATCTATTTGTATGATGTTATTTAATACATTGATGTGATTGGATTCCACTTTCCTTGTTTGTTCTTAATCGTGTTTAGTTTAACCTCTCTCTATCTTACGACCTTTCCTAGTAGTCTAGTTGGTACAAATTAATACGCTTAGTCCTTTTGGGTTCGACCCTTTACTTGCCACTAACTAGTTCAGTGTAAGTTTAGGTATTATTAATTTCTAATTTGGTTAGGGTTAGTAGTCCCAATGGCCTACTTTTAACCTTGATCATTTGGTGACATGGGGTTTTGATTTGTTGGTCGTGGTTGGTGACATGGGGTTTTGGTTCGTTGGTAGTGGCTGGTGAGGTGGGTTTTCGGTTGGTGGTGATGAAGTAGGATTTCGATCTTAGGGGTAGTGATGTGGGGTTTTAGATCTTGGTGGTGGTGAGATCATGAGAGGGTGGGGGGCGAAAGTTTAGGGACTAAAAGTGCACAAATACGAAAGTTTAGGGACCGTATTAGTGCTTTACTCCAAATTTGCTCTACATTGAAAGGAATAAAACGTGCAAGATGATGAGCCACTTCACTTCCCTCACGCCGTACATGGGACCAGCAGACTTGCTCGAAAGAAGTACTCAGCTTCAATGCATCCACAAGGACAGCATCCAGATCAGTCAAGTGAGAAGCTCCCTTTGATAAACGGCTGGTGACTTCCTGAGAGTCAGATTCTATGATGATTTTCCTACATCCAAAGCTACTGCCTAACTTCAAAGCTAATATAATGGCCTTAGCTTCTGCAACATCCATTTGCCACCAAGCTTTCCAGCGTTTACAAGCTGAGAACACAACCTTACCAAGGTTATCTCGAGCTACAACACCCACCCCTACCCATCCTTCCTCTGTCAGAGTAGCATTAGTGTTAATTTTCACCCAGTCAGCTGGAGGTGCCACCCAAGTCTTCGAGCTCCTTTTCTGACCAGCAGCAGGGGTGGTATAAATAGCCTTGCTGTACTTCTCATTTTCCTCTGCCCACCTTAAAACCACATAATGTTTGGACTTACACATGAGCTTCCAAATTATAACAACAATTACACGCACAAAATTAAATATAATTCGAAATTTGAACTCTTAAACCATAAACAACACACCAACGGTCCAAGCCTCATAAACACCCACCTGCCCACCTCATTATCCAAATCAAAAGTGAAAGCCATCGTTATACAAAATGGTCCAACATTAAAGTGTATCAATTACATTTTTCCAGAAAAAGTAACATGTGCATTTTACAATCAACTTATACATGAGAACATTTCTAACAAATTACCTTGCCTAATTTCAAACCTCATTCCGAATCTTTATTTTTTTAAACTAACTACAATTAGCTTCATTTGAATTTTTCTTAACAAGCATAAAATAACCCAAAACAGCACAAAAAGCAGCAACAAAATTCCCTTCTTTGATCAGGATCTTAATCACAACCCCAGAAATCTCAGCCGTTAATTTCTTCCCTTCCACCACTAAGTCTCTCCTTCGCGTACCACAGAAAGTAAGCAGCACAAGAATTGTAATCCAAGTCATTAGCATCGCCGGCACCGCAACCGCGAACGCCGCAACCATCGACATCACACCGAAGACTGCGCCGAGCATCACCGACGCATACACCGCCGCCGGCCACCCTTTTGCCGGCGATGAAGATGGCGGAGGAGACAGACTGGCGTTGTACCAATGAAGAATCGATTTTAGCAGATTCCAAGAAGAGTATAGAAGGATTCCATAAACTAAGACAAATAGAGCTACCCATGTTCGTCGTTTACTCATTATTCTCAAAAACATCATGTGATTTGGGTTTTGTTGGATTATTTCTTGTTGTTCTTGATTTGGGGTTTCCATTTTGGGGGGTTTTTATTTATTTGTTTTGTGGGGATTTCTTGGTAAGTGGGTTTTGTTTATGCTTTTTTGTCAGTTGAATTGAAAGATTGGGGGCTGAAGATAGTGGTACTAGTAGAATAACTAGAATTTGAGTAAGAAGATAAACTTTGGTAAAGTGTTGATTTTAAAATGGTCTGCTCTTTTCTGGGTATGTAGTGTGTTTGCGACTTTTTGAGGGGAACTTGGGTTAGGTGAAATGTGAAGAGTTTGGGTTGGATCTAGGTATGTAATATGTATTATGCATTTAGGCTGTGGGGCTTACGTTTTGTACTACTACATTCGTTACAAGTTATGTATAACGATTCGACATGAAGAAAAAAAAAAAATTTAATCGTTGCGCATAATCTGTAATGGAGGTAACGGAGGTAGTATTAATTCTCAAATCTATTAACTATTACTAAAACAGAAATCTACTAACATCATCCTCTCTACCAAGTGTATATTTGTCACTTTCTAATGAAAAGTTTTCCTCCAAATGCACTTATAATGTCGTCATATATATTTTGTTTTGTTTTGTTTTTTTTTTTTTTTAAGAATTGGTTATTTATTTATTTATTTTTAATCATTTTCATGACAATTTTTTTGACTGTTTCAATAAATAAATAAATAAATTTTATTTTTGGTTGGAATAATTAAATTGAAATCTATAAATTGGCTTTCATTTTTATATTTTAATACTCATATAATTTATGATGATAGCTGCATATCTTTTACAATTTAACTTATAAGTATATACGAGAAAATAAATAATAAAATTAAGCTATTTTATTTCAATAATTTTTGTAATCCGTGCATCGCACGAGTCTACTCTAGTTGCACTTAAATGAGTGTACTTCCTTCGTGTTTTAATAAGTTTATAGTCACCAAATACGACCATGTTTTAATAAGTATTACACTTATCAAAGGTAGTCGTAGCCGTGGGGATAACATTCGTAATATTATTTCTCACTTTGCACTTGAATGAAAGGAATAGAAAAAAAAATAAACGGATAACAATTATTGATCAACACATAGTTTTAGCTAATTTAATTGATTTGAATATAATAAAAAGCAAGTGAAATATGTGGAGTACTGTAGGGAATATTTCAAGCATTACCCCAAACTTGAACCCCACTGTGATCATACACTTAAGCATGGTGGCGTCCAAAGGGAAGGAAGATAGAGAAAAAAGTCACCAACAAGTTTTAGTAACTTGTAAACCGTTCGCAGGGTGAAGGTTACACCCCTTAACGATCCAGAAGATCGTTAACTCCAATAGGTCTTGAACCATGACTGGAAGTTAGGGGATGAAGGTACAAATCCAATCTAAAAGAGAAAGAACCTGCCCTAATAATACGCCTCTACATTATTCTAATCGTATTCATGTGCGCTTTCTGATTAACATACAATCAATAGATTTACCCTAAACTTGAATATTTATGTTGGTTGAACATTAATGCACAAATAAAACTATTATTGGCGATCACTTGAATTATAATAAACTTAACCCTAAACAAGATTATTAATTATCTTATTAAACGTGATTACAAGTACAAATTTCCTTTAAACATGCATAAAAGGCGTGATCAAGCAATAGCAATAAATAAAATATCAAGCAACATAATAATAATAACAAAAATAATCATAATTATTTTAATAATTAAAATAATCATGTTAAAGCATAATAATAGCAAGATAATAGGCATGATACTAACAAGATTAATAACAAACCCTAGCTTGTCACTAAACAATAAAGATCAAATATATAACCCTAACATGATACTAACATGAATATTAAAAAAGACAATAAAAGGGCATCATAGAAATCATAATTGATATTAGGAACTTATTGTTGTCACCTTAAACATCATACTAAGAAAAGCATTCTAACATGATACTTGGAATCAAAATAACAACCTAAACATGATTTCTATATCATAATATCAATAAAGCAATTAAAGCACTTACTTGGATGCCTCGTATCTCTTTCTACAAACAAAATACACACGTTAGTAACTTCAAGGAAAATAATAAAATCAAACAATTAAATTAAATAATTGAAATAGAGATTTGGGACCAAAACCTCATAAATATCAAACCTTTCACGTCTAGGGCGAAGGCAACTTCGAACTTGGTTAGGTGTGTCTAGAACTTGTGAATGCGAAATTTTGTATTTGAGAAGAGGCTAGTTTAGAAAAGAGAGAGAGAAAGAATCAAGAATTTCTTGATGAGAGTTGGTGATTCAAAACGGAGGTTTTAGGAGGCTATTATAACGAAAATCAGCCGGATTATGATAAATTAGAATCAGAGTTTCGAAAAGAATAAAACACGACGTTGTTTCCAAACACATCCCTGTCGCTAATCGACAGATCCTATCGCTAGGCGAAAGACATGTCGCCGCGACGCCAGGCCTGTCGTCAGGGGACATCCTGTAGTGCGCCGCTGCAGTCAGTTTTTCCACGCGTTTTCATATTTTGATAAAATTTAAGCGTACAGAGGGTAAAACCGTGATTTCCTTAAAAACGCCTTTGTTATTCTAAATAAAACTCTTAAAACTCAATTATCAATGCTAATCACATTAGGATTCAAAAGAACCTTCTAAAAGATTCTAGAAGACCAAAATCAATCCTACTTGCATTAGAAATGATAAATCATGATAGGCCCTCCTCTAGATCATTGGGCCGCATATAAAGATCAAACCGGGCCTAGTTCAGTAATTTGGCCATAACTTCCTCATTATCCATCGGAATTGGGCTTATAATATATCGTTGGAAAGCTCTTTTCGAAATCAATCCAACTACACTATTATTGGACCCTTGTCATGGACCAAAATAAACTGGATCGGCTATTTTCATAAAATAGGTTTTCAAAAATAGAGAGAAAGAAAAGAATTAAAAACCAACCGCAACACTAGACTTTCCACACTTTCACTTCATTTGATTATGATTCGACGTGAAAGGTACTCATCACCGGGTTTGGTTTTAGGGAGACACAAATGGGTGTCTACAGAAGCCCCCACTTTAACTGAGTTAGGAGAAACGCAAGTTTCGAAAACAAAAATCAAAATATCGATAGGGACACAGAATGATTCTGAACGTTCTGGGATCCTAAATCATTCGTGTAAGGCAGATACCTGCAAACTAGCGTTAGTTAAAAAAGATAAGAGAGTTAAGAAACGCGTATCTTCCACCGTCGCGCACACGTCTCTGTAGTAACCAATTTGTTGCATTGTTATTGACAACCTTCCACAAGCTAGGGAACGCCATCTTGCTTTTTTGATGTTGATATGTCCACACGTCTCTTAACAAAGAGCTTTGACGATCTTCTACAAGCCAGAGAATACTATCAAAGATTGCTTTGCCTGAAACGATCTTCTACCGCCTTATTACCATCTTTCGCAAGCCAGGGAATATGATCGAAGATTGCTTCGCGTGAAGCCATCCTCCGTTGTTGCGATACTTTGGGTGATGACAATCCTCTTTTCTTTGGGAACAGTTGCCAACACAACTCTTGTATGATGTATGACAATCCGATTAAGGGAAAATTGTCAATTTTTCATAACAACCCATCCTTGGAAATGTTGCCAAGATGAAGCGACAATTCGTATCTCAGAAAATTTGCCAAAATCCAATTTTAGGAAAAGTTGCCAATGCTTCGTAACAATCTGTCATAATAACTTTGCTACGATTGACAATCCACATCTTAGAATATAACTCTTAAAAGCAATCCACCTTGGAAATTTGTCGATGCTATGCGACAATCCTTTTAGGAAAATATTGCCACAATTGACAATCCGTGTCTTGGAATTTTTGCAAAAAAAAGTCGATCGACAATCCACTTTATGAAAATTTTCCTCTTACTGAAATGAATGACAATCCACATTGAGGAACCTTTGCCAAAATTTATGATGAGTAGAGACCTACGACAATCCTTTGGGAAATTTTGCCATATGGAACTAGGTGTATGACAATACAATTTCGGAAAACTTGCCAGCGATGACAATTCAAACTTGGAAAAAATTGCCAAATGAAGAAGGAGCACGACAATCCACGCTTGGAAACTTTGCCAGAGATGACAATTCAATCTTGGAAAAATTATCGTTGAAGAAGATGCGCGACAATCCACATTTTGGAAATTTTGTCACTTGGGGATGACAATCCAATCTTGAAAAAGTTGTATTATAAGTGCTTGCTTTTGAACCGAGGCCTTGGTGCTTGTATTGAGCCAATGCTTAGGCGCTTAAGCTAAGTGAGACGATCGTCATCAGGTCAATCACTTACTGCGATTGTAATTGAGCCGACTACTAATCATGTCAATTTGCCTATAGGGGCTAACTGGTGTACCAAGGAACCCGTAAATTGCCGTATGAGGTCCACATAATCCAATATAGGACCACGCATCTTCGCTGCTCTGGCGCACTCCGGAAACCGTTGTCACCACGTCCTCGCTCTATCGCTAGGCGACAGCCTTGCCATCTGATGCTAGAGTCAGGTTTTTATTCGCGGATTTTCAAAAAAAAAAATTCCGGGAATGCTCTTGATCACTGGAATGTACCTGCATTTATATTTTGGACTATAGGACTTTGCTTATCCTTCTTTAGGGTTAACCTATAAATTAGTGTTGCTTGACTCATTGACTTGACATGACTCAAGGTATGAACTTGACTTAATGATGACTCACTTCGTGTGACTTGTGTGTGCATAGTGTTGACTCATGAAACTCGATATGTACATGACTCGAAATGGAGAAAAACAAAAATTTCCGTCATTTTTGTGGAGGGTACCGACTTTCTCCCGAAAAAGAAAGACGCCAAAAAAGAAAGAAGCGAAGTTTTTGAAGGTGCATGTTAAATGAGCTTAATCCGTTAACGTTGCCTCTCACAGTTAAAGGATTGTAACATCTTAGATTATCCTAGTTAACTTGATAATAAAAGTATTTAGGTAACTTAGGCGCGGAGGCTAAGTACTTCATACTTTGTGATGTAATGATGATTGATCTTGATATGACAAGGCATGCTTAAGAATTGTGTTAAGATTTCATGACAAAAGGTTCCTAAGGGAAGTATATTTGGTCATGTATCTGTGATGTGCGTGATAGTG